GAAGACATGAACCGATTATGACACTTGCGAAAATATTTCTGTAAAAATATTTAAATTTCAATAAATATTCCTCTATATGAAAATATATAAAACGGCAGAGCTAAGTACGAAGCAAAGTACTTCATTACTGCTTGTTAAATACTTATTTAGTTGTATAAGTAGTTATTTTGTATACTGTAATATAATTTGGAACTGTGACATTTATTAATGATGAATAATCCTCGTAATCTCTGTCTATGGCGGCCATGTTTCTGATTGGATCATGACTGATAATAAGGAAGATGATGAAATGTGTGAATATCTGGTCCAATAAGGTTCTGTTCGGAAACCAGAACTAAAGATAAAAACAGAAGTTCAGCTGCTGGCCTCGGCCTGCAGAGGGCGCTGCAGCTGTTTCTCTCCAGGAGCAAAAACAACAGAACAAGTTTCCTGTAAGTCTTTTATTGGTTTGAAGCAGTTTTCAGGTCAGTGACGACATCAGTTACAGAACCAGAACCTCCAGAACTTCCTGGAAACAAACATTTCTACATAGTTAGAGTGGAGTTATGCAGATCAATACAGATGTAGTTATTGATTAATGCGATCAGTTCATCCTCCATCAGCTTCCTGTCGACTCATCAGTCTGATCAGCTCTGACTCCAGGGGGCGCTGTGGAACCTGCAGGTGGCGCTATATCCTCCTGTTAGCGATGGTTAGATCCACACTGACACGTCGATGAGGCTGTTACACAAGCTGACTGCAGGGGGCGCCGCGGAGCGCTCAGTGGACACACCACCACATGACCAGCACGGAGGCCAGCAGGCCAATCACAGAGCCTGCTGCAGACGAGGGGGCGGAGTTACACAGGTCGGAGTTGCAGCACCTGAAGGTGAAGCTGGAAACCTGGGAGGTCAAAGGTCAGAGGTCAGGGTACCCAGTCAGCAGGAACCTACCAGAGAACCCAACTGGTTTCAGTCCTAGTGTGGTTTCCATGGTAACGGAAAACCTCAACAGGAACCGGAACCAGAGGTTCTCCAGGGTGGTTCTGGAAGTTTGTAGTTACAGGCTGTGACCACAGGAGGGCGACAGAGAGTTCCTGGCAATAATAATCATACAATTTTTTTATAGTTCTCTAATTTTTTTAAAGATATATCGACTTGTTCGTTTTGTCCTTCAATTATTAATCTAATTCATAATAAACTATCCTGAAACATTGTAGTGTAATTACAGGCTGTGACCACCGGAGGGCGCCACAAGGTCTCTGGCAATAAAGAAAAATCTGGTACCAGTTTGGTTCTCCAGCAGAACCTTTATGGTCTGAAAAGCTGCAGGGACCGAGACAGAACCTGGACCAGATTCCAGAACCAAACTGGTCAGAGGGTGAACTGGTTGGTGTCTGGACGGTGGACCTGGTACCTGGGGGAACATCTGGGCCAGGCGGCTCCGCTCACACTCCGTGTACTTCAGACACTTCCTGTAGGTCATCCCACCTGCAGAGCAGCAGACAGCCAGGTGAGAGATCCGGAGCGACACCTGAGGTCCAGAGGGCCCGGTGGACGGTACGCACCTCTCTCGATGAGCGTGAGGCAGGCGTCGTCGTAGCTGCAGTCTCGCTGCTTGGTGCAGCTGGCGGTGTAGTCCTTACAGCTGTAGCAGCGGATGGCGGACCCTGAAACACAGCAGCAGGTCACCTGGGGTCCAGTTCTCCATGAGGGGTCATTCACAGGTCATGAGTTTCACCTGAAAACTTCCTGAACTCTTTTGAAATTCCCAGAAAGTTTTGAAACGTGGCTAAATACAAAGCGGATCATCCCACCGGACTCAGCTGGCTTCATTTGGGCCGACACGGCCGGGTTCTGCATTACTCAAGATTCTCACATATCACTGCAACCCTCTGCTCTCCCAGAGAGCAGGACGGGTTTAGATCCGTCCACATGCAGAGTTCTCAGCCAGTCCAGTTGTTCTTGGCTCGTGTTCTGCTGCTGTCTGATTCCCAGAATCGTCCAACTGGACCTTCCAGGATGTTGAGCAACAGTTATTTCCACATCCAGCAAATTTGAGTTTCTCTCTGACTTTCAAACTGACTCAGAACATTTAGGTTGAAAAGCCAAACTCTGTAAACATGAACTATTGATATCATTTTATTCCTCTGCAGTTCCTGAAACGGTTCTAAAAGGTTCTGAATGTTTCTGTGGTTCAACTTAAAGGATGCTCCAGGGAGTTGGAAAACGACCCAGAAACCTCCTGGGAGGTTCTGATGGTTCCTATCAGCTTTAACATGAACCAGTCAGGAGAACAGAACCTGTTCCCCAACAGATCTGAACAGAACCACGGTCAGAACCAGGACTCAGACTCTGAGGTGCTGCCCCCTATTGGTCAGACCATGTCGAGCAGATGATTCAAACACATCAGAACTTCAGACCCACAAACATCTCAGCAGGTTCTGCTGAGGCGTCAGAACCCGATCAGCCAGGAGAACCAGACGTACCGAGTCCGACCAGAGAGGAGCAGACCAGCAGGCAGATCACTAGGGAGCACTTCATCTTCACCTCGGCGCAGCTCAGTCTCTCCTACAGACAGAACCAGAACCAGAGAGAACCCGGGCTCAGACAGAACCAGAACCAGGGTTCAGGTCAGTGTGAGCAGAACCTCAGGGTACTCACCCAGCAGGAAGCAGCAGGACGGTTCTGGTGAGGATGAGGAGCAGAAACTGAGCCTCTGACGGATGACTGAACCTCACAAGCCCCGCCCACTGGGAGGAGTCAGCGTCGCATCGTTCATAAGCCCCGCCCAGTGGGCGGGACTTGTGTTCAACCGTTCATAAGCCCCGCCCAGTTCATTCTGTCCCTGACTGGGGGACATGAAGACTGAGAGTCAGGAAAAACACTGACCCACTGGTAGAGAGGTTCTGAGTCAACAGAACCATCCAGAACCCAAAGCCCGTTTGGTCCCAGGTGACACCAGATTCAAAATGAGATCAGATTCCTCCAGTTGCACCTGAGAACCACGAAATGTTCTGTTAAACGGGCCGGCTGCATCAGAACCAAACCCAACGCTCCTTAAACGGGCCGGCTGCATCAGAACCAAACCCAACGCTCCTTAAACGGGCCGGCTGCATCAGAATCAAACCCAACGCTCCTTAAACGGGCCGGCTCCAGTGAATGGAGGCCTTTGTCGTTTGTTTTGTTAGCAGATGCTAGCAAGTCTCTGATTGGCTGAGAGCTCCACCAGGATGACAGCATGTCAGCCATATTGTAAAGATGTTTTTGTGTAGGATTTATCCGGAAGTGGCGACTTTTCCTTCCTTCTTATGATTTGGGTTTAGTTTCTTTAGCAGCCTTTAGTTAGCATGTCTGACACGAGGTCAAAGGTCACCAGGCCAGGCCTTGACCTCCACCCCTGTCTGCAGGGTGGAGGTCACAGGTTCACCTCCACATCCTGTTTAGTTTTATTACATTTACGTATTTTTATGATTGATTTGTGTATTTTTTGCTTTTTTTTTTTTTAACTCTAATTGTTCTGATATTATTATGACTTATTTAGTTGTAATAAGATTTTATTACATTTTTACACATTTTCTGTATTTTATTTTGATATTTTATCTTTTCCTTTTATGATTGTGTATATTTTTATTTTGGTTATTATTTAACCTTTTATTATTTTATTTGCATTTCTTTTGTATATATTTTGTCTATTGTTTATTTTATGTTTTACGTTGTTTCATTTTTCAATATGTTATGTACTAAGTTTATATTTTTTCTTATTTTGTTTCATTATTTATACTTACATTTTATTATTTTTCTGTTTTTTTAGTGTTTCTCTCCAGTCGTTCTTCCAGCTCTGAGCTTCTTTCTGTTGATGTTTAACAGCCAGACCCCAGCAGCCCGGGGTCACGGGGTCATCCTCAGGACAGACCGTGCCTCTGTGACGGCGCCGTGGAGAGACCGGACCGCGGCTCCGCCTGCGGCCGTTTAGCTCAGTCCAGATGCCGGACAGCTGTGGTGTCGGCCGCTGCGGCCGCCCGGCGCCCAACAAGGCGCTCAGTGTGAGCGGAGAACAACAGCGGCCGTGTTCCCGGCCCGGACACAGAGGACGCTTGTTCCCCTTCATCAAACATTTATTCAGAACCTCGTCCAGATCCGCTCCACGATATGATGCCGCTGCTCCCACCGGTCCTCCAGAACCGACCCACAGCCAGCACCGGAGGTCAGAGACCGGCTGGAGGCGGAGCCTTCTGACCGTGGAGGTCAGCGACCCCTGAGGGTTTCCACCAGGAAAACACGGCAAAAACACTCAAAAAGGTTCTAGTTCCACTGGCAGATTATTTCATTTAAAAATCTTTTTTTCCCATTTGTCAAGTTAAGTAATAAACAAACTCATATATCTTGTTCAGACTTTGGAAAACATTTCTGAAAGTGAACATTTTTAGGATTCAGGCTCAAAATTTGTGAGTCTTTTGGTGGAAATGGTGGCGCCCCCTGGTGGTCAGAGTCAAACTGAAGCTCTGACTGAATTTACCTGTCTGACCTCAGGAGTCTCCAGATCCCTGCTTCTGATTGGTCGGCACTGCTGGCTGCTGATTGGCTGTCAGGCAGCAGGTGGGAAACAGCAGTCATGTAATGTGACGCCTTCGTTCATCATTGATGAGCAGCAGCTCCTGATGAAGGAAGGTCCAGTTCTGGTTCTGGTTCAGGTCTGGTTCAGCTCTGGTTCAGGTCTGGTTCAGCTCTGGTCCAGTTCTGGTTCAGTTCTGGTTCAGTTCTGGTTCAGCTCTGGTTCATGCTCTGGTCCAGTTCTGGTTCAGTTCTGGTTCAGTTCTGGTTCAGCTCTGGTTCAGTTCTGGTTCAGGTCCAGTTCTGGTTCAGGTCTGGTTCAGTTCTGTTCCGGTTCTGGTTCAGGTCCAGTTCTGGTTCTGGTTTCTTGGGATCCGGCCAGAATACTCCTGCCTAATCAGCCTCTCTTGTTCCGTCTCTCCAGAAGAAAACGGATCAAACTCCTGTTCTGGTAAGTGGATCAGAACCGACCCAGCAGGTTCTGGTTCTACGGAGTGAGTCCTGGAGTTTGACTCTCTGCGGAGGATCTAAGGAATCCACCGGATCTCCATGGACCCGAGCCGCACAGGTGAGATCTGTTGTTCTGAACCAGGAAGGTCCAGACAGGGGTTCTGGTTCTGGTCTGAACCCTGACTCTTGTCTGCCAGCTGAACCTGGACCTGCTGATGTCATCGATCCAGTAAGTCAGTTTCAATATGAACAGTTCTTTTGTTGTTTTTGGTTGTTCTTTGAACAGAACCTGTGACTGAGGCCCGTCTGTCAGTCTACAGAACCACCATGAAGGTCCGGTCTCTGCAGAGGTTCTGCCACAGTAAGATCACTGGTTCCTTCCCAGTTCAGATCTGCACCAGTCAGATCTCACTGACTGACTGCGTTCATTTATGCTGAAAGGACTGTGTTCAGGTCATGAATGAACTTGCTCATTCTAACCAGAACTGGTTCACTTTGCTGATATGGTTCAATGAATCAGTTCATAAATGACTCTGTTCATCATTGAACATGTTCAGTTCACCTTTAATGAACTGAGTGAATCAGTTCATACCAACATGAACTGATTCAAGTTAATGAATCACTGAAGGAATCGGTTCAGTTTCATAAATCAGTTCATATTAATGAATCAGTTGACCTTGTGACCTGTCTTTCTGTTCCAGTGGACGCCATCTTCATTCAGCACATTGCAGCATCCTTCCAGCTGGTGGGCGGGGCTAACCCAGCAGGCTCCCACCTGGTGGGCGGGGCTAATCCAGCAGGCTCCCACCTGGTGGGCGGGGCTAATCCAGCAGGCTCCCACCTGGTGGGCGGGGCTAACCCAGCAGGCTCCCACCTGGTGGGCGGGGCTAATCCAGCAGGCTCCCACCTGGTGGGCGGGGCTAATCCAGCAGGCTCCCAGCTGGTGGGCGGGGCTAATCCCAGGCGGGACGCCATGTTGAACAGGGAAAGCGTGGCCATGGTTCTCAACAGGATGTTTAATTGCGCGTCCCAGGAAGTGACTGCGGCGGCCTCAGAGGAGACTGGCAGTCTACTGTTCAGGCTGCTTGACCGGTCCGTTGGATCAGCACTAGGTCCGGTTCTGGTTTCTAGACGACTGGGCTGATTGTGGACCTGCTGTGTTTCAGAGAGGGGACCGGTCAGGTGTCGGCCCGGTCTCTGCAGACCGTTCTGGTCGCTCTGTCTGCGGACAGCGTGCTGGCCAAGTACAGGAGTGAGTAACTACCAGAATCCTGATATGAACCAGAAGCATCCAGAACCAAATGGACCCAGAAGGTTCTGGCTCTGTCCTGCAGGTCTGGTTCGTCTGTCAGGAGACTGCTCTGGATCTGTCACCAGGACTGCACTCAGCTCTCTGCTGCAGGACCTCAGCAAGGTAGGACTGCATTTCCCATCATGCCCCAGTGCTCCAGCTCTCTGACCGCTCAGTGTTCAGGTTCCTGCGGCGGTCCAGGAGCAGGAAGTGTTCGGCAGTGTGGAGGCAGCAGTCACTTCCTGTTTTAACCAGGTGAGGACCCACAAACGCTTTGCTGCAGGTGAACCTGACCTCACCTGACCTCACCTGACCCAACCTGACTTCACCTGACCCAACCTGACCTCACCTGACCCAACCTGACCTCACCTGACCCAACCTGACCCAACCTGACCTCACCTGACCTCACCTGACCCAACCTGTCTGCAGGACGGGGCCCCAGCTGTGAGCCAATCACATCTCCTCTCGTGGCTGAAGAGCGAGCCCCGGCTGTTGCTATGGTTGCCGACTCTCTACAGACTGTCGGCCAGTCAGAAGGTGAGCCACGCCGTCCGCTGCCACACCTGTAAAGCCTTCCCCATCGCCGGGCTCAGGTGAGTCTGATCGGCTGGACCAGGTGAGGACTGAGAGTCACTCAGGTGAGACAGAGTCCAGACCCGCTTCACATCTGTGCTCAGGTATCGCTGCAGGAAGTGTGTGAACGTCCAGGTGTCAGGAATGCTTCCTGAACGGCCGGCAGACCAGGAAGCATAAAACACACCACCCAGTGGTGGAGTTCTGCACTCAGGTGAGGTCAGTCAGGTGAGGTCAGACAGGTAAAGTTAAAGCGCTTGACCTTTGTTTGTGTGTTTGTGTGTAATCAGCCCACCTGGAAAGAGTCTCTGTCCTCCTTGGTGCATAATGCTCGTCACACCCTGTTGCCACGGCGACATACTCACAGAGCAGCTGATAGGACGAGCGTCCTGACATGGGCGGAGCCAACACAGACCCAGAACAGGTGAGTGATCTGCAGGTAAACCTCTGTGGTCCGGTACTGAAACGTTCTGCCCGCAGAGCTCCGCCCACCTCTGATGCTGCAACGCCACCGGCCGCCTCGGCGCGCTCTTCGTCCTGTGATGAGGAGGAGGCCCGGGACGCCGCGGTGCAGGCGTCTCCTCCTCTGTCCTCGTCCAAGTCTCTGCAGACAGATGAGGCTCCGCCCCCCCAGCAGGTGAGGCAGCTCCAGCTGAGCGAAAGGCAGCGTAATGACGCGTCCATCCTGCAGGGGGCGGCGCTGCTGACTGAGGTCAGGAACCTGCAGAGAGACAAGTGGTGAGGCTGGAACCAGCACCATCCCAGTATGGTCTGTACCTGGGTCTAACTGCTTTGAACTGGTCCCACAGGTTGCTGGAGCAACAGCTGGGGGCGTGGCGCCTCACCGTCCAATCAGAGCAGGGCATCCTGGAGGACCGCTGCTCTGAGATGGAGGTCACCATGGCAACGATGAGGCAGCACAACGAAAAGCTGCAGGACATGCTCAACCAGGTAGCTGTGACTGGCATTGAGGACAGGTGCATCATGGGAGCTGTAGTTTATGTTTGGTTCTTCTGCGTCAGGCTCTGAGAAAGATGGAGGCTCAACAACACGCCAACAACACGCATCACACTGAGGGAGGAGCCGCAACGCCGACCTCTGACCCTCCAACCGATGAGGAGGAAGAGGAGGAGCTGATGAAGGATGGGGACGAATGGGGCATGAATGAGCCTCAAACTCCATCTCCCACAATTCCACACAAACCCAGTCTGTCACATGATGAACAGGAGGAGGAAATGCCAGAGGAACGTCAGCCAATAGGACGACAGGAATCATTAAAAGACTGTCAGCCAATAGGACGACAGGAATCATTAAAAGACTGTCAGCCAATAGGACGACAGGAATCATTAAAAGACTGTCAGCCAATAGGACGACAGGAATCATTAAAAGACTGTCAGCCAATAGGACGACAGGAATCATTAAAAGACTGTCAGCCAATAGGACGACAGGAATCATTAAAAGACTGTCAGCCAATAGAACGACAGGGAGACCTTGAGGAGGCGGGCCTACAAGCAAACATTACCTGTCTGTCCGATGAAGAGGATCCTGGGACTTGTAGTCCTGAAGTCTTGCTGCAGCAGATTGTGGACAGACTGAAGACAGAGATGGACGGGGTGAGAGACAGAAACACAGGTGAGACACAAATGGAGAGATAAATCCTGCAGGTGAGTCACAGGTGAGACAGACTGCCACAGGAGGAGCACCTGTCTCACCTGCCAGGTGTTACCTGTCCTCAACAGAGTGAACAGCTTCGGTTTGTGTGCTTCCAGGTGAGAGCGTGAGGGTGGAGCTAGCGGCGGCAGCGGAGCAGGTGGGGGACGCAGTGTCCAGCCTGGTGGACGCTGTGAGGACAAACTGAGCAGGCGTGGCTCTTAGAAAACGTTTTATTCAGGACCAATATTTAAACACGCAGGTAGAAAAGGTAAAAACATGGCCACCTGTTAAACTGGTGAGAAAGTACAGAGACAGAGCTGCCGAACAGTAAACAATGATGTCATTAAGTATGTCTCCATGGCAACAAACATGTAGCTGTACTGGTTTCCATTCTGTAAAAACATTGTTTACCTTATAAAATTATTAAAACAGATCATAAAGAAAATAATTTCTATTGTCAGCAATTCTTTACACCAAAGAGGAAATGATCTTTCTTCTTATTGCACAGTGGAGTTTTCTTTAGTGTCAGGTGAGCTGGGACAGGTGTAGCTCCAGTCCGTCCATAAAGAGTCCGGCCTGCTACCTGCCCCCTCTCTCGCAGCCGCGCCCCCTCTGGCTCCGCCCCCTGCGGGGGGCCGGGAGGGCGTGGCCTGTGGAGCTGAGGCGCTTCCTGCTGGGTGGTGCTCGTCGAAGCCCCTCCCTCCTGGGAGGAGGGGGCGGGGCTAGAGTCCTGGTCCTTCTTTGGGAGGGTGGGTGGCGTGGCCTGCCGCCCCTCTCTCTCTCGGTGGGCGGAGTCTGAGGAACCCTTCCTGTCCTCCTGACGGTCTCTGTCCCAGAGTCTGCACTGAGCGCGTTCATCAGGGCCAAGTCGCCTTTAGGCCCCTCCCCCGGCCGGCGGTCCATGTTGAGGTCAGGACTCAGACTCCGGAACAGCTGACGGACGCATGGTGGAGGATGGCCAGAGGGGGCGGGGCCTCTGGGTCTCAGTAAAGCCTGTGGAGGGTTTCTGAGGATCTGATTGGTCCCCGGTTCGTAGAACTTAACAGGAAGTCTTTTATACTTGACCTTTAGCCTCTGCAGGTCGACAGGCCGCCGCCTCCTTCTGCAGCGCTTGGGGCGGAGTCTCCAGGCGGGGCGGCAGCAGAGCAGGACGGGGAGCAGAGCAGGTAGACCAGCGAGGTGCGGGGCTGGACAGGAGTAACGATGCTGGAGTAACACGCAGGCAGCGAATGCCACGCCTGCGACTCAGGAGTTCTCTCATTGGCTGCAGGGAGGCTGGTGGGCGGAGCCTCTGAGGACAGCTGATGAACAGTCGGGATAACCAATCGTAGCGTCTGAGTGCCGTGACTCACTTTAACCACCTGAAAGGATAATACCAGGTGAGGCGTTTGTTTCCAGGAGAGAAAATCAGACACAACCCCCTCCTGCTTACCTGACACCTGGATGCCACTCTGAAGCTCCGCCTCCTTTTCTTCATCCTCACACAAGCAGAGTCATCATCATCCTGGTCCACCAAGGGCAGAATACCTGTGTCTGGCTCCGCCTCCTGGGCCTGAGGGGCCTCCTTCCTCCTCCTCCTGCCAAACCTGAGGGAAACAGATCACCTGAGATTACCTGAGATTACCTGACACGACTACTTATGTATCTCAGACTAGTGAACTGTTCCACATTAAATGTTTAGATCAATAGATGACCAAGTGGGCCACACAGGGCTCACCTGTTTACCTGAGAACAAGTGAGCTGAAAAGCTAACAACTAGGAATGGATGTGAACATGTTCACCTTTGATCAGGTGAGTTAACAGGTGAGCAGGTGTTACCTGGCCAGAGACTCTGTGTCGAAATAGCAGATGAATCTGCCCCGTCTGAACTGCTGGACCAGCCTCTCCACGCGGGCCTCGTCCTCCTGCTCAATCTGGGTCCAGGTCTTCCCCCTGAAGGATTCTGGGATATGTTGTGGGACCGGCAGGACGTCCTCTATGGGGACGTCCCAGATGCCCTGGTCCAGCTGGACCGCCTCGCCCAGCAGGGCGCAGTCCAGCTGGCTGGAGTACACCTGGTCCTCCATGTCCACCTGGACGTCCATGAGGCGGCACAGGTCCCGCCCCTCTGTCTGGCTCACCTGGACAGGTGGGTCAGCTCTCTGGAAAACCACCTGCTGAGCAGAATCCCAGTCAGAACCTGGACAAACAGAACCACCTCCACACCTGTACATACCTGGACAGGTTTGTCCCAGTCTTCACTCTGCGTTTCCATGGTGACAGGAAGGCTGAAATGGAGGCTCTCTGTCTCCTCCTGCTGGTGGTGAGGTGAAGTGACGCTGTAGCAGCACATCTGGATCACCTGGGAGGGTTCAGAGGGGACAGGTCAGGTGACATCAGCTCTGCGTCTGATTGGTCGGTTAACCCCAGCTCTGCACACCCAAACAATGAAAGAAACATTTAATTAATATATTTTCACTTTTATTTATCAGTCATTTAGCATAAATGCTGCTACCTACTTTAGTGGACATTTCTTCATTCACCTGATCAACTATTTATGTATTTTTTAAATTACATTTATTAGATTCCATTTTTCCGATGAATCCCAGTCAGAACCTGGACAAACAGGACAAACATTGGGGGCCCCCTTGGGGCCCCCAATGTGAAAAACCCTGGGTAAACCACCGACCTCTTCAATGGTCTGCTCCTCCGGGTCGCTGTGGGTGGAGAACGCCTCCGCCTTCTGGACCGCCCGCCTCTCCCTCTGCCAACTCACAAAGGGCCTCTGGGGCCTCAGGTCTGAGCAGAACCGGGTCCTTGGTCCAGATGCAGTTTGGATCTTTGGCTCTGCAGGAGCCTGGAGCCTCTGGCTGGCGCTGGGGTCCAGCTGAGCCGGCCCCCGGGGAGCCTGAGTGGAGGATGAAGAGTCACTGGGTTTCCTCCGGTTGGTCTTCCTGTGGGCTTTTCTGTGGACAGAGGGCGGGGCCTGTGGCTGAGGGGGCGGAGCCTCAGGGTGCAGAGTTTGGTGCTGAGGGGGGTGAGTGTTCGTGCAATGGGGCAGAGGAGACGCCCGTCCTTTGTCCTGCCTGTCTGATTGGCTGTGGAAGCTGTGTTCTGTTCCTGATTGGCTGGCTGACAGGACGCGTCATCAGAGCTGGGCAGGTGTTCTCGAGTGCCTAGCGACTGCCCGTCTCCGTCGGAGGAACAGAGTTCATCAAGCTCCGCCTTCGGCAGCGGGGGGGCGGAGACAGACGGCAGGTCGGCGTGGGACGGCCTGGAGGACCCAGACGGACAGGTTACCCATAGCAACAGCTGGACTGTTGCGTTAGTGGAGGTGTTTGTTTTGCTCACCTGGCGTCGCCGTAGCGATGCGGGTGGTGCTCCTGGACGTCCCGCAGGAAGCGCTCCAGCAGAGTCAGCCTGCTCTGGTTGCCCCTGGCGATGGACACAGGAGCGGAGCCTCTGGCGGACGCCCGGACAGAATCCAGGTGTCTGAGGCTGGACAGGTGCTGTGTGGGACACATGGTGATGATGTCATCAGGAGCCGGAGTGAGGCCAGACTGGGTCTAAACTCAGGCGTTCCTGTACCTGGTCCAGGCTGGTGTAGAGGACTCTGCAGTAACCACAGTAACCCTGCCTGCTGGGCTCACACCTGGACGGACCGGGCTCTGGCTCCGCCCACATCCTGCCAGACAGACCACACCTACAGCTCTCTTTCACTGATGATTGTCTCTGATTGGTTACCAGAAGAGTTAACAGGTAAGCTCACCTGCTGGGAGGCTCTGCCTCCTTCCGGTTACCTTCATCAGACATCCTGACGGCACACCTGGAACACACACATCTAATAACACACCTGCACATGCTGAACACACACATCATCACATCCACTCACCTGGAGGTGGTGCAGTCAGAGGGTCCGTCCAATCAGAGTGCTCCATGCTGTAACTAACAGCAACGAGGCGGGAGCTCCAGAGTCCATGAGCCTGAAGGGGAAGCAGACGCCATACTGGTTGCTATGGTGATGCTCTGCACATTAAGCCCAGAGTCGCTTTGAAACCCATCAGAACTGTTCTGGTGGACCCTGATCTGCAGCAGAACAGTTACCTCCTAAAAGAGCTCAGGAGGTTCTTTATTCTGGACCCGGTACTGATACATGAGCCTGGGTTAACACCCGCCCCTACTGATACTTTTCACAGTTACCTGTCTAACTGTCATCCAATCAAAGCACCGCTCTCCCCGCTGCCAACCAATTATACACCAGATGATTTTCTTCTAACCAATCACAGTTTAGCTCTATGCATTTCTAACCAATCAGCTTGCACTTCTTGTTGTAACAGTAACCCATGTTTAGTCAATTTAAGTCTCGGTTCCGTATTCTGGGTCCAACTAGAGACTAACCCGGGTCGTTTTGAACCGTGACAACAGAGACGCTGACGTGTCACAGCGGTCAGCTTCCGGTTAGCTATGTTGTTAGCAGATTAACTCCTAAGCTTAACGGCAGCACGAAACCAGTCAGCGTTGGTCCGGTACCGGTACTGCTGCCTCGAATCACTGCCTGTCGGGTTCTTTTACCTGCAGCAGATCGATGGTTGCGGTTTTTACGGATTATTTATCTTCTTCCCCCGAGCGGTGCTCCACTGCTGTTTAGTTTCCGGTCCAGTCTTCTTCTGCTCCATGTGGAACAGTTCTTTAAACTGCATCGCCACTAGCGCCCAGATAGAGGAACTGCAGCCTCAAGAGTTAAGCAAGAGATCTAAGGTGATAAATTCACCTCATCATTCAGATTAAATTGGATAAACTGAGGCTTTATAAATGCAACTGTTTCAACCATCATTGCTTCAACTTTAAAGCTGGAGTAAATATTTCCCCTAAGATTAAAGACTCAACAGCTGATTTTTGCCAAGTGCTTTTTATTAAACATGATTAACTCAGATCTTATTGAAAGCTGCGACATCCATGGACTGCACAAAGTCCTCGAAGGCTGTAATCTTCTCCTCCAGGATGTCTGTGCCCACCTGCAGAACAAAACACTCGGTCAGACCTCAGAACGACACTCAGAACCAACCAGGCGACGTGTTGCAAGCGTCTCACCTTGTCGTCCTCCACCACGCAGCTGATCTGGAGCTTCTTGATGCCGTAGCCCACTGGGACCAGCTTGGCTGCACAGATCACAGCATGGGTTGGTTATAGTTACTACCCGTCAATAAAACAGTTTAACATTTAATGGATGACTGTGATCAGTTTCTGTAGCGGTCAGATCAAAGAGTGTCCATCAGTCTTCAGCCGAAAGATGGTGAGATGGATCATCATCTGTGCTACTAGAGGA